AATTTGCACGGAGCTCAAATAAACATGGAAGTAAGCAGGCCTGTGCTAAAACTCGAGTCTCGGCACAGTGCAGACCGGAAATGAGGAAACACCGGAAAAACGATGCGAAATGCGCAACATACCCGAAAACATCGGAAACAAGCTGTACAAAAGGATGGCTGATATATTTTGGCACAGTGCATCTCGGATTTGTCGCCCAGTTTTTTGGCGAAAACACTGTAAAAACCGCGGCGAAAGAAAACATCCAAAGTTTTTGTCGGTGCACCAACGTGCCAAAACTCGAGTTTTAGCACATGCCTGCCCCGAATTTGCTCCACCCGCGCGGCGGCAGACGCACATGCTGCCAACAACAACAACAACAACAACACCAGCAGCAACAGCAACAGCAACAGCAACAACAAGCACAACCACAACGACAGCGACAATGACAATGTCAACGACGCTCAGGAAACCAAAAAACAAGCACCATATTCCAAAAGCAATGCTGAATAAAGCTCCGAAGCCGTTGAGCGCTTCACAGCCACCCGACGGGTCATTACCGAGGTGAGCCTTTGGGAGCTGGACCTCGACACAGCCGAACCTCTTCTGCGCTGTTGCCCGTTACACACCCTCCTTTCTGCAAGTTGGGGATTAAGGGTTCAAGGTTTAGGGCTTTACCTTACGACAAGTTCGGACTAGTGTGCCTTTTCAGTCAAGTTCCTCAGTCGCATGCTCGGAAGCTGGCAGCACTGTCACGAGTACAGTGTTAGTCACTGTTAGTCGGCGGACGAGTGGCTAACTACCAGGCGTTCTTGCTTGCAAGCCTGCAGCAACAAGGGTTTTACCTCGTTACACCCTCTTTTCGGGATGTAGGACTACTGGTGATGTTTTCGAGTCCCGTGCCGTATGTGTCTCTTCTGGCGACTATACCAGCTACCTTTGCAATGCTATTGCGCATCGTTTGTATATGTGTTTGTTCTTGTGCATGTCTGTCAGTGTAAGTAGTGCAGGGCATGTTGAAATTGGAAGGATTCCCTCAAGGGTTCTTTTGCCGGGTGTGGTGGCTTCGAACGCCGTCCCGATGCAAGATCATGTGAGGATAGCCCAGAACCCAAAATACTGTAACCAGCAGCAGCCAAGCACAGAAGCAGCCTGAAGTGGCACGGCAGCTATTCGCAGTACCAGAGCCGACAGACACATGTGTCACAACTTGGCATCTGCGAAATCTCAACACACAACTATCCCAAGCAAAGATGGGTTACCTGCATTCTCTTTGCATGAACAGCTAAAGCAGTGAATCCCGAATAGTTTCAGATTGCTCGGTGTGCGATTGCGGAGCCTTGGTGTGAAAATCGGAATTCCCGAGACCCTTCTCAGGCACTGCTCCACGACTTCCACGAATGTCGCTTGGCTTCGGGCGGATCTTGGAGTTGAGGGTTTACCTAGGGCCGTGCACTCGGTTGCCATGATCTGCCCGAAAAGCCGAACTGTAGCTTTCCCGCCGAAATGGGTGGTTTAGGAATGTTTGGGTTTCGTGGGAGTAGAAGGTTGCTTCGTCCTACAAGTGTGCGGTAGGGTATAGGCACTTTCGAAGCAGGATTCTTTATAGTGTTTTGCCCAGTGTCCTCACCCGGCGCTTGACCCTGAAGTCCCTTGCAGCCAGAGCCCGAAAGCCCCGGACTGCACTGCTTCTGCTTCTGAGCCCTGGACTCTCCATCATGCTGGAATGCAGCGAAGACGGTTCCGCGACCGGTCTATCTCCGAAGGTAAGGATGCGTTGGTGCTGGTACTTGTGCTAAGCACGGATCCGAGTCTGCTGGTCAACAGGGGGTTCCTCATTTTCTGAACGCCCCCATGTAACGCAGATGCCGAATTGATGAGACCGCCAGTGTGGTCATGGTCGTCATGGTGTAGAATTATGACGAGCATTACAGATCAATTTGGTTGGAGCCTGGCAACCCCCTTCGCCCCCAACTCCAAACTCTAAACCCCATAAGACCGTTTTCTAACTTGGCCATGCTCAGAGGTGCTGAAGCCAGCTATGGATCCTGGGAGGTCCTGCGTGGGGCTTTTGGTTACAGTCCCGTCTTGGATTTCTGGCTTTCTCGGGCGAGAGCTGAAGTGTCGCAGTTCCACAGATTTGGGGTTTAGGGAGGGCTTTCGATTAGGTCCCTATAGGGTCGGGGTATGTCAGAGTGCACACTGAGGTTTGTGAGGGAATCCCATAAGAACGTCCAGGTTGTGTATTGGCGCTGCGCACTGTCAGTTTCAAAGCCAAATCCTAAGCTTGCATCCCGAACCGCAAGCCGTGCTGCCCCTCCCTTATCCTGCATCCTCATTCCAGAATCCTCTGCCAACCTGCTGCAAACCTGAAAACACATGAAAGAACCACACGCATGCATACATACGTGCATTCGAGTCTGTTTACACACACATGGGACCGTATCGCCCGATGAAGCCCAAGAGGAACCTTGTAGATCTCCAGAAGCCCAAAGACTTCCCAAGCTGGGAAGGCCACGTGGCACGAAGTCATGGACCTCAGAGGCGACGACCGAGTGAAGATGGCCGACTTCCGATTCGGTTGCCAGGCTCTTTGTGGGGTGTACAGAGTTGGGGATTAGGATTTAGGGTTCCGGCGGAATGATTTCAGAGAGGTGTTAAAGGTTTAGGCTTTGGGCTTATGAGGGCTTTTCGAGTTCTGTTGAATTGTTTGTCTAAGCTGGGGTTTTGTTGGTTCTGTCTAGGGCCTGGGGGTTATGCCACAGTGTGCTACAGTACAAACCCCGAGGGATTATTGAATATGGTATTTGTATGTTGGGTCCTATTGGCTCTTATAGTTGTGATATAAAGGTTCAAGGCTTCAGGGCCAGCGCTTGTGATCTAGAGCTCAAGCTTAGGGTGATAGTCTGCAGGTTATTCCATACTTTTCTCAAGGTAAGCTTTGAGACCCGGTCTACCGATAGTACCCTTTCACACTTTGATCCTGGGCTTTCCTTGTGAACGGTAAGCAACCGGACCAAGGGATTTCCTTGTTGAAGAGGGGATACTGGGGAACAAAGGTGGTGGAAGCTTTGAGAATACTAGGGGTGTCTTTCCGCAAAAGGTGAACCGGACATGGGCTGAAGGGTTTCTTCCCGGTTTCGCAGGACAATGCATCCCCAAACCTTTTTACATGTGTTGAGGCTCGCGTAAAATCAAGTGCCTCTAAGATCGAGGGGTCTCGGTGTATTCAGCAACACGGCTCCGACACTGCGGGAAAGAAATCAAAGGCATGGTGCACCTACCTAGAGTCCATGTGAGTTTGCGGTAGCAGGGGCTGCCTGCTGGTGGGGCGAAGGGCGTCTCATGCCTCGGTGAGGGCTCCCGCTAGAATTAAAGCAAGCATAAGCTTCGGGCGGTTTCGGACTACGTCAAGTCGGTTTCGAATTTGGACACGGCTCATGGGCTTTTGAATGCCAGAGTCAAAGCTCGAGAGCCCCCGAAACCTGGCAGGCGATGGGTTACAAAGGCGACATTAACCTCATGTTCGACCTGCTCGATGTGTCTTGGCCGAGGCACTCGTTGTTGAACACTACAGACCCAGCACGGAGTTCACGAAGTTGTTTTTTTCGCTTTCTGCCTTGTATTGTGTTGATGTGCCGTGATGCCCCCCCAAAACCCAAGCCCAACTTTCCGAACCAAATCAATTGGCTCAAGCACGAACAGCTTTTCGGAAGGATAGCCCTCAGGCACTGGGCGGTGCTGTGATGCGGCAAATTTCTATGAATACTTCAATGCCACGAATTATCGGACATCATTTGCATGCCCCACTTTTCCCCACAGCGATTCCTAGGTGATTGATCTCCTTCCTTCCTCTTTCCTCTTCTGACGCCACAAAGGCCCAGAATTCGATCGCTGTCGCCATGTTCTCGTGGTCTTTGGGATGCTTCGACCTGCAGCCCCGCCGTAAAAAGCGTTCCCGCGGGTTGGCCCCGAACACCATGATGAGTGATGAGGTTTCGAAAGTATCGTCGACGTCAACAACAGAAAGCCTGTCGACTCGCCGTGCTCAGGAGAAGCAGTTTGTCCAGAGGCATGACTCCGAAAACAGCGAGATTTGGTATCTCGTGTGCACCGCTTGGCTGGATAAGTGGAAGGCCTTCGTAACTGGAAAGGCTGGCCCCCCCGGTCCGATCACCAACGAGACTTTGGTTCGCCCAGATGGCACTCCCTTCCCAGGAAAGAGGGCTGTGGAGCACTTCCGGGGCGTGAATGCGGAAGTGTGGAAGTACTTGCAGTCTCGCCACGGAGGAGGGCCTGAAATCATTCGAACCAAGCAGATCAAGCTCTATGTTGAGAATGCTACACCCGCCCCGAATGTGTGGTCCAGCGGCCCTCAGATCTCAAGTGCACTGGCCATGGTCAAATCGTCCTTCTCGGGTTCTCCGGCCATTGCTCCGATGTGTACTCCGGTAAAGAGCCAGCCCATGGCGGCAGTGGCGCCACCTTCGCAGGGCAAGGTGACCTGCGACAAGTGTGATGGACCACATGCCACGGAGAATTGCCCGCATTTCAAAAAGCCCCGAGAGAAGCATCCGGATGCTTGGTGCTTGAAAGGCAAGGCCAAGCTTGTTGGCGCCGCCGAGTCCGAGGCAAAGTTCGTCAGCCGCGCCCGCGTTGTTCGCCAACCGGGGGACGGCTCATGCATGTTCCACTCGGTTTCGTATGGACTTGGCGACGGAAGCACAGCCGGGTCACTGCGTAAGAGCGTGGCGGACACCATCGCCGCATACCCTAACATGCAGATCTTGGAGACACCCATAGCAGAGTGGATCCGGATGGATGCCAATGTCGGAGTCAGCTCGTATGTCCAAAGCCTCCGGGGTGGTGCCTGGGGCGGCGGAATCGAGCTGGCCGTTCTTGCACAGATGAAACTTGGCGTTCTTCTGGTTTGCTCTTAGGACTTTAACTTTCCAGGTTTCTATATGAACTGTAATAAGGATCGAGGCTAAAGGTTTAACTTTCACGAGGGGTTCAGAAGTCAGCCAAGGAAAAAGATCAACATTGAAGTCTATGAAGCTCGCCGCGGAGGGTACGCCCGCATTGCTCGATTCGGCTCATGTGGTCGTACCGTGCCGATCCTGTACCAGGGTCGCTTGCACTATGACGCGCTCGTGCTGAACTGAGGAGTTCCAGCTGTGCGATTCCCGAATCTATGTGAACTTCCCCTTTCTTCTGAGAACACCCAAATGCCACACTGAAGCAAACCAAAACCGCGCCTCTCTTGCGAGGCTGCTGCTAAATACATCTACATCGAACACACATAGGTACTTATGATTATGTTCTGTATGGACATATACACTTTCATTTCTGGTATCTTTGATGAACCAGAGTATTTGGCATTGGGTTCCTGTGCTTTCTGTCCCAAAGGGACAGATGCCGCTTGACCAGGATGGACAGAAAAAAGCGGCCAATAAGCCGAGACCGTCTAGTTTCGCCATGAGCGCGGCAGCGCGACACCGAAAACCAAGGGATTTCCGATTCCCGTTTCCGGAAGCCCAGGTGGACCGGACGAAGTTCTTATCATGGAACGAGACCGCCTGGATCTCCGGCGCGGAGGCAATCTTTGCGGGTAGGTCATGTCATGTTATGTTTTCGTGTCGGTAGTGTGGTATAATGAAGTAAAAGGTAACATATGGAAACGGACACGTACTGCAATGCACTGGAATGTATTCGTGGACATGCATGCATGCACGGCCTACGCACCGGTATTCGTATCCAGTTTCTTTTCTTTGCCTCGCTTGCCCCTCCCTCTCTGGCAGGCCTGTGTGTACGAACTCTGCATGGAGACATTGTCGGGCATTGGATATAAGGGCTTCAAGACCCTCAAGAGTATACGCTTGCGGCATGCAGCAGCGGCTAGCAAGGTCGAAGAATCTACCAGGCTGTTTGAGAATTCGTGCGAAAACCAACACGGGAGTAGGAGGGTTTTGCGTCGGCAACTTAATACAAGAGGGTATCTGAATCAGCTCCAACATCAGCCCCTATGTCAATCGGTACGGTACATCTGTGACCCCTGCGAGATACCGACAGTCCCGCCGACACGCATCGATGTTGGCATGAAGACGATCTCGGGGCCTCCCGGGCTGCAAGCGCCAGACTTGGGATTTACCGTGCTTGGAAGGCTTGGGGTCTAAAGTCTAAAGCTCAAGGGTCTCGGAGACTCTTCCTATGCAGGAGGGTTTGCACAACTGTTCGGGTTTGCGCCGCAATTTCCGGAGGAGATATCTCTTAGCGATTCGATGTAGAGTTCGAAGTTGGTTCAGAACTTGCACTTTGAGACAGATTGTAAAACCATCGCTTTTGGACAGCATTGCCTGTAGTCTGTAGTTCTAACACCTTTAACCCGATCCCTTAAGACCAAAACCTTTCCCTTTCAGAGCCTGCTTACAGTTCAAGCTGTCGAACGCATTGTGCACTCGTGGCATTGGCTCTGAGCGCATATGGGACATCAAGCCGTACACTCCTATGCAGCAGACTTGGTCGTTTTACTTCGGCAGACTTTTCTACTTCGTGGACCATACCAACCCCATGAGCCCCTGTTGATGTGTTTCTGGCCAGGAATTTCACCAAGCTCACAAAGCAGCAGCAGAGGCCAGCGAGTGGGAAGAGGTTTAAAGGCCTGGAGTCGTTTTGGGCGGTGAGTGTTCGCGTCCAAGGCTTGTCCGCGAGATATGACATGACCCGACACACTCACCCTGGTACCTGGAACTTCGGTTTCGACAGCAAGACTGGAAACGTCGCTGCCAAGTATCATGCATGTTGAGAAACAGCTCGAAATCTTCGAACAGATGAGAATGTACACAGTGAACAGCCAGCAACAAGCCGGCCGTCTCGCAGGCACGGGAGTATCTAGAACCTCGAAATTTTGACAGTGTTCGTATGCGTGTGTATGTATTCATCAGGCTCTCTGTGTGTATATTTGTGTGTTAGTGAGTCAATGTGCTCACTTGTTGGGTTAATGGGCCCGATCCTTGAAGCTACCGAGACTCACAACCCTCGCCTGCTTGTCGAGTGCGAGTGCCAAAAAATATTTGTGTGTTTATCCATCTGGCCTTCACAAAGTCAACGACAGTACGTAACCAGTCGCCAGGCGAGCAGATGCTGTGTCGCGCGACTTCCGCGTGCGCACGAAGCGTTTCGAGGGCCGCGCACGTGGAGAGCTTCCTGCGCCTGGTCCGACGGGATGGCAGACAATAACTCCCCTAAATACTAAACCCTAAACTCCCCAAACATAAGCGGCAGGCCCGCAAATCCTTGGCTGCATTCCGACTCCCAGCCATCGCGAAGCTTCGACAACTCTTAGCGCTTTGAATCCTGAACCAGATCTTCAATTTCCCAAGATAGCCCCCTAAACTAGTACAGTAGTTGTTTTTTGGGCCTCGGGCGGAGTTGGAGTTCCTGTAGGCTGTTCAGGACCAAGAACCAATTCCGAAACGCTGCTTCACCAACTCAAAGACTGAGACCAAATGGGCCATCCTAGGACAGCAGCCCCACTGCCGGCACCAGCATCTTCGCACCCGGCTTGAAGCAGCCTGGTCGCGATCGTAAACGCGTCAGAAGCGCAGTGCTCAAGGATCCCCGGTAAGGACAACTAAGTCAAAGCAACTGCAGCTGTCGAGCTGAGCTTCTCCTACCTAACGTCCCACGGTTTAGAGTTTAGGGTTCTAGAGTTTAGGGTTTAGGGAGCCGTAAGACGGGGTAAGGGTTGCATGGGCGCTGGCCGGCACCGCAGTCCGTGCTGAACAGGGTTTAGGGAGGTAGGATTGCACAAAAGCCTTGCTGCAAAAAAAGAGAGATTATATAGCAGCGACAGACATTCAAGTGCAATATTAGCCGCGAAGGAAGGTTTCTTTGGCAATTAGACCGGACGAACTTGTAGTTGCTCACTGTCCAGCCACAGAACCCAAATCCCCAACTCCACATATTTTCCGGTTGGCTTCTTCCTTCGGGATCACGCTGTGTTTACGCAGTCTTCTGACAGCTTTGCTGAATGGAGACCGAGACCACCTTTCAGCAGTTAGTTCTTCAGCTAGTTGTTCAGTCTTTCAGCTTCGGTTCTTGCGACTTCTTGCAGCCAAGCATCCTGAACCCGGGGCCATTGAAGAGCATCATGAATGACGGCTATGTGGCAGCGCCGGAGCACAGCCAGACAGATACACCGAATGCTCAGCGAATTGGACACAGCCCCGCCCCCCTCTCATCGTCCATCCTCAAGGGGCAGCTCTGCATTTAATGGGTCTCAAGGCATTTGCCTGCATGTTTCTAAAGAAGTGGAACCCAACACAAGCCAAGAACGTACTTGCAAGGCCTCAGGGCATTAGGCGTTGCAGCATTGCTTCGCATCCGGTGCAGGTTCTTTGCCGAAATTTCGTTTGCCTGACTGCAATCGCCTCAAACCTTCATCATACCTATTCATCAGTTCTTCAGGTTCAACGAGCATCTTCCCAAAGCTCGGTCTACGCCAGCCCGGCATTCCTTGCGGGAATCGAGAGGGAGCAGAGTGAGGCATAGGCAACAAGAAACGAGATGAAAGCTGTGGTGATCTTATCATGTGTGGTGTTTGGTTTGTACCTGATTTAATTTGGAGGGTACGAGCGGTCAGACTCGGGAACGCCGAAACTATCAGGCTTGGACGTTGTAACTTACTAATGCTAACGCGGAAAGTGTTGAATTCAGCTTCGCTGCAACCACTTGGCTTGTTCCTAGTATGGTCCAACGGTGGTAGTAGTAACCACCGTCGATGGAGTGTGGGTCTTTAGGAGACGGGGGTAGGCGTGCAATGCAGCTAGTGCAGCAGCATGAGATGGTAGCAATGTTTTTCAGCAACTAGACGCAGCAAGACTTCACACAGCTACAGCATACACAAGAACCGAGCTAAGAGAAAACATCCTTACTGCAAGTCTAACGTCCTGAAGCCACTTGGGGAAGCCTGGCTTCGCTTCCCTAAGATTTGAACCCCAAGACCCCAGCCCGAAACCCGAAACCCGGAAGCCTAAGACCCGGGAACTAAGACCTTACACCCTAAAGAATGATACCCTGGAGACTAAGATCCTAATCCGATGGTCACCTTTTGCCAGGGGCGCGTTGCCGACTTCCGCTTCCATGGCCTCGACCGCGACTTCCTGGCGAAGTCAGCTGCTGGTCTGTTACCAAAACCTAATATAGGGCTTCGGGTTTAGGGCCTTAGGCCTAAGGTGTAGAAATTTTAATACGAATCACCATCACCATCACCATCGTCGTAGTCATCAGAAGTCAGCATAATAATAAGACTGTTTGTACTAGTAACAATAAGATGTACTAGCAATCGTATTAGTAATACTGTTAATAGTAACGACAAAAGCAAAAGAGCGATTGCTGGTCGAGTATGTTGGCCCTCCTCCGGGGTCTTGACAGAAGCAAAACCCCAACGAAACCCCAAACCTTAACTTTAAGGCCCCATCGCGGATATACTTTACCAATATACTTTAACTATACGGTACCGTACTGTATTGTACTGTACTCAATTTTTTATTCAACCGGACTGTGCCATACTACGTATAGTAGGCCAGGCTGGCAACAGAAGGCGCATCTCTTGCTCATGCTGCCCCTGTAGGGACCGGACATAGGCTTCTGACATGACCGGGGCTTGCGATCATAGCAATGCATGAAACTGAGAAAGCCTAAACCGACTGAGCCCCACTTCCCTCATCACTTTGTCACTATGACCACGAGGACTATTCGATCTTGTGTTTGGTTGTGTATAACCGGAGATGTTGTGTCGAAGCCATTTCAACACACAACTCAGAGAAGAAAAGCACCCTACACACCCAGAGCACGACAGTCGACACCTAAATTCCCAAATATCAAAAGTTAACGCCTGACGCCCGGAATGCAGATCCCTGCTGCACCCTCTGTAATCATAAACACTGTGGTGGACCCGAACAGCGCGATCGAAATGCCGGAGGCGACGCACACCCTGACCAGCTAAAACTTGAACCCTCCAAACCTGTGTCCAAGTTGCGAGAGCATACAGCTCCAAAACCGTAAGCCTCAAACCAGTTTAAAAAATTGCAAGCCTGAGTTTCACTGAGAGGCGAGACTGAATCCTCCACAAAGCCCAATACCCAAAGCCCTACATCAACCCCCGAACCTCGAGCAAAAGGCTGAAGGATTTAAGCCCTTGGGATCCATACCAACACAAAAAAGCCTTTCCAACAGAAGAAGTCCTCCTCTAAACCCGAAATCCCGACTACCTTTTTCCACCGGTGTCGTTTGAATAGTCCAAGCAGACGGAGGCTTTACCTTGTGTCACGTCGACTTCGCCCCATAGACCCCGCCTGGATTGTCCAAGTTGTGAGAATGTAAATCCCCAAACTCTACACAAACTCCAAGCCCAGGAAGACCTCCGAGCCCGATCTTCCAGACTGGTACCTGATCTCCGAGGGTCGCCACTCAACCGGATGTCAGGTTTGGTGGGGAGGATGCGGAAAAAAGGGGTTCGTAAGGGCTGTAGGGTCTTGTATAAGGGTTTCCCAGGCGCTTGATATAAGAGTGTATACAATGGTCAGTCTTGAAATGTTTCAAGTGTTCTATACGGTGGTCGTTGACTTGTGACTTGTTGCTGAAGGCCGGGGGGGGGGTGTTAGGGTTTAGACTCTTGTTGAGTTTCAGGATAGTCAGTTTGCCGAACCTGCAGGGCTTCTACAGGAAACGGGCTTTGGGCTTTGGGCTGACGGCCTTGTGCGAATTGCGAGCTGGGGAACTGGGATTTAAGGTTTGGGGCTGCTGGGCTTACTGGATTTCGATCCGAGGAGCTTTGGCTTTGTACTTCTTGCAGGCATCTCCGCATCAAAGAGATAGCGGCGGCACTATGCCGTCATGAAAACACTTAGTGTTGTGGCGACAAGGCTGATTTCTTTTCCAGCCACGGGGGGGTGGGGTAAGACTGGTAGTGCGACTCATTGTGCATCTTTGGAATCAGCCACATCGGGCCACAACTTCATGAAGAATAGCGGATACAGCCCTCAGGACCAAACCTGCAAGACTCGACATCCGCACTTACATCCATGAATGAAGTGTAAAACTCTGAACCCGTCTAAACCTCCAAACCTCAAAACCCTAATCCCACGGACCTCAACCCTGAACCCCCAAGGCACAAATGCTACCACAAGTGTCAGAAGAGTTCGTAAGGTATATACTCTGTTAGTGTCCCCATACAGCCACGGTATAGTAGTGAACCCCCAACGTCCCAAGCCAAACATGCGTCAAGGCCTACAGTCTCCACAGCCGAAGCCGAAGGCCGTGTTTCGACAGCTTTCTGTGTATGTCGGGGAGTATTTAGTTGACGGTGGCTTGGTGGGTGTATGTTAGGTTACTGGAGATTCCGACGCGTCGTGTGGAACCTTGCCGAGGAGGACACTCCGATTCAGCAACACCCCTCAAAGATAATAAATGTCGGAACTTCAAGAGGTTCGGGACCCTGCTAGAGACCCCAATGGAGCCGTCGGCTTCCTTAAAGAATTACAAGGGTCCCTAGCTTCCGGGCGACGAGGCAAGCCCGCTGCAAAAGAACGCGTCAACTTCGGTAACCCGGTGTCTCTTCAAGCTCTCCAATGTCCCCCGAACGTCGTGCCATTCGCTTGAACCAGATGCTAAGCCTCAAACCCATAGCAGGCAGGATTTTCCAGGGCACTCAACGGTGTAATTCGGACATCTTACCCTGATACAGGGCGGCAGTCCTCCCGAAACCCGAAACCCTGGTTATTGCTATTGTCGACTAGGCGGAGATGGATTTTGGTCAGCAAAAACGAAACAAGCTGTGTCATTGTGGGCACTGGGAAGGTGGATCTTTCTTTCCCGTTGGCGCCACAATGCCCCGGCAAGGGCGGCTGGCCCTGCCGAAACTCGGCTGTTTAGCCTTTAAGGAGTTTCTTGTTTTTGGATGTTGAAGGTTAACAAATGACGAGTCTAACAACTTGTTCATCTGCATATTTGCAGGTTCGACCCTGTCGTCTGGATGTGATTTGGAATATGTTTTGTCTTCACGCTGCCAGTCCATCCGATGCTACGCAGGATCCGTTTTCAATATTCAATATAGCTTATGAGATTTCGCCGCGGAGTGGAGCATTGTGGGGTGTCGAGTTTGACTGATTGCCATATCTCACAGCAGTCTTTTCCGATTATCAAGGCCCCAGACCCCTGCCTTTGCCATTCCTTAGTAGTACATGCAGCGACGGGAAGCCAGGCTTCTGGCAACCTGTGCCGGGCCAGTGTTGGACTGCGTAGTGACTTAATATAGGGGCCTGAACAGAGGGCTAGAGCACTTCAGTAGTCGTAAGTTTGTCGCCCAGGAAAGCTGCGTCTTGTCGACACCTTCTGGGGTGGAAGCAGCGGGCCTGGTTCGAATATCCAGAACCCCCTCCGCCTAAGCAAAGCCAAACCCGTGCTCCGTCATGTTTCTTCATGGTCACAGCAGCCTGCGCTTTCTTGCTATGCACAATCCTTCCAAGCAGAATCCACCTTTCCTGTCTCTTGGTCCCGAGATGTCCCGATCTTAACTCCAACAAGCTGAGACTATTCGTGCATGACAGTTATTTGGGTGCTACTGCCAAGGATGAATGTCGATGTGGTAAATCGACCTGGAACTAGGGCTCAGGATCGCCGGTGTTTTTGGAAATCCAGGTTTCCCCAGTGGATTCAAGGGAATGTGCCGGGGCCAGATTCAGAACGGCAGTGGCGAGGCGTGGTGAGGGCGGTCGACTGATGCTGTGGAAATACGTGTCTATGCATGGGTCCCAGAAGTGTTCCAGACCTCCAGACCCTGCTCTCCAAATCCTCAATCACCCGTGTGAGTGAGCGTGTTGCCCAGGCAAGGACATCGGCAAGCTTCTTACACCTCTGAGCCAGGGGGCGGTTCTGCCAGACGATTTGGAACGCTGGCAGAAGATGAGTCTCCCGGACTAAGGGAAACAGGCATCTTTACATAGCGGGCTTATAGGGTATGAAGCGGGCAGTTGGCACACTGAGCATCGCCGCGATTTCCTCAAACTCAGCAGTGAGGTGACGTCAATGGGCTACGGTTCGATCAGCCTTCCCTTCGTCCCGATCAGCCACTGCGAGTTTTCGGAAGCAGGTTTGCAGCTTCTTTGCGCAGCAGCTGGGTTTATGCCTGCATTGCTTTCCAGGAGGGAGCCGCCGAAGGAAGCCTGTGCGTCGATGATGTATATAATGAAGCAGACGGGCGCGAATAAGAGCAACCGTACGACTGGTTTCAGAAGATAACGCAAGGAAGAATCGTAAGACCGATCTGGCTCAAATAGCTCGGGAGAGAGAAACGACAACAGCCGCAGACACTGCGATACCTTTTCCCATGGTCGGAACTCTGGTAAAAAAATCGTCGGAGCTCTCAAACCGTTCGATGTGCTTTTCAATCGGGCTCCCTCGGGATCGCAGCCGGAGGGATGCCACATGGCCTGACCCCTCCGTTTGTTTTTTGGTCTTACCTGTGCATGAAAGCCCCGTAGCATCCGTGTTTCCCCCATGTGACGGCTTGTAAACAGTTTGTGATATGAGCTGGGGTTGCATCAAGTGAAAAATTAGGGCAATTAGAGGTCCTTGTTGCAGTAAAGGATTCTTTTAATTATACTTTGGTAGTCTCCAGACTTTAGACGACGCTTGATTCTGCAACCTCCCAACCCTGAGCCCTGCAAGCCCGAGTTCTCAGCCCAAGCCCCAGGAACCCTGTCACACCTGAACCAGGGTCGTGTGATTTGATCCTGTCATGCCAAATTCTTGAGGCCCGACGACTGCAACCCTAACCCCTGCCAAAACTCGAACGCTGTAGCTGCTTTAGCTTCTAAGCCCAATCGCTATAAGCAGCCCTTTCGGGATCTCGTTCGGCACTCACGAATCTCAATCCCTAGAACCCCTGAGCCCTGACATGATGAACCTCAGAAGTCTGTCTTGGAAAAAGCGCACCGAAAACCTTTACTGTATCATATTATGTGATATCATACCTTACCATATCATGTCTCATCAAATCCTACTGTAGTAGATTGAATTATATTAGTATTACCATTCTGTATCGTATGATAACCCCCCGCCTCAGTTATCTCAAAGCAGGAGCTCGTTCAGAGACCCTGCCTTAGCAGTGGGACTCGAGGTTTCAGGGTTTAGGGTTCCATCAAGGTTGTACATGGCTCTGTAACGGTTCTGTGGAGGTTCCATAGGGTTTTTGGCTTTGGGGTTCTTGACTGTCAAAGATTTGGCGAGGTAGGGAAGGCCAACCCACATGCACAACAACTCTGATGCCATGTGGATCTGTGCATGGCCGATGATGCCCTGCTTGCCGCACATTAGCAAGCTAAATGGGTATATTGACTGGTTTCGAGAGGGAGATGCACTAGGGACGGATGTTGATGGAAGTTTGTCCTCTTCGCCCAAAACTCGAAGTTCTCAAACCTGTCAGGGGGAACCAGCGGGTTCAGGTTAATGCCGTTTAGGGTTTAGGTCTCCTAAGCCGGATGCAGAAAAGGGTTTAGGAGACCAGAATCATGTTCAAACCTTTAATGATTTTTTGCAGCGTTTTTCCTCGAGTCCCCTACGCTCTGGATTTTTTGTACGCCGAGCCGGCCGAATGGCACCAACTCGGCTTCATGACCGGCGGGTGTCTCTCGAAGGGGCCGCGGCCTCCTGTGGTTGTATTCATCTACCTGTGAAGCTCGATGGACCAAATTGGGGTCGGGATTCGGCTTCCTGAAAGCAGTTAGGCCACACGGGATTCAGATTGGGATCATCTCCGGCACTAGGAAATTGATTCCAAATCCTTAAATGTAGTCGTTTCAATGCCGGGAATCTTGCGGAGACAGCCCCGGTGGACTGTGGGTCTGTAGCGATTGACAGATATCCGACGTCTTTGGCCGTGCAGCTGTCGATACCAGGCCTCCCGAAGGCAATAACATACTGCGCGGCTCTTCAGCTAGGTTCGTATGTGAGAGCGTCGTTCGTCTGCAGACCTTGCCGCCTTGCCCGTATACGTCCGAGCGTGAGTGTGCAAGAACAAGTACCTGCACATTGCAAGAGCTGTTTGTTGGCTATGTTAAGATAAAGACGAAGAGGAAGGCGAAGACGCGACAGCACTTGCACGATCATTCCTAGCCCTGCTGATCTGGTTAGACTGATGATACTTTTGTTTGTTGCTGATGCCTTTGCGCGACCAGAGCTCGTGTCAAGTTCGCCCTTCAGACAAGGGCTGAGTGGAGGCAGAAATCAGATTTCGGAAAAGCGTGGCGACTGCTTGAAGTAGCATACTGTGGGAACCCATCAGCTCGTACGGAAACCTCCGTGAGCAGCCATCCGTGAGCTGAAGCTTCGTGAGCTTACCCGGTGGGTTTCTTTCAGACAGTCTTCGGAGCTTGGAAGCAAAGCACAGCCAACTTTGCAGTCCTGTGAACCCACCTTGAATCCTCGAAGAGGTCTTTTTCATGTTCTACACGAATCCCTGTCTGGTGAAGATGCATCATAGCGCCAGGGCTGTTTCTATGATTCTGTTGTGCAGTTCCCGATTTCGCAATTGTGTTATTGGATCAACTCTCAGGTCTTGCTTCGTGTATGCATACATGACGGAGATGTGGTACTACTCGCCGGTGGATGCGTGGAGCTTGGAGTACTGCTGGGATCGTCGAAGGGCAAGATTCCCATTTGTCAAAGGTCCGGGGGCAGTCCCGGATGCTGGTCCTTTGGGGTTCCAGGGCACAATGGACACATTGTGAGTCAGGTTGCGTTGAATATTGCAGATACTTTACTTAAACCTGGCTGCCAAGTCCAGCATGCCGTGTGTATGACTTGAAGTAGAGTGGTATATCTCATGATGGTTGTTGTCCTAGCACCTTGCCTTATGCCGCTCGAAGTTTCCGACTTAGAGGCGTCGACTCAGTCCTTTTCGATCTTTGACGTGCGATTGCCCACTGAATCCTCTGGGCTCGGCGGCTTCCAATTTGCACCTTACACAGAAGGTCCTGCATGAGTGTAAGACACCCCAGCCGGACTATATCGGAAGAGGCCAGGCCAGATCCACACTGAGAATCCAAAACGGCAGCCGGCTAGCCAAGAAAGCGAGCCTTGAAAACCCTTTTAAACCATTGACCTGGATCGTGCTCGAAGCCCGATTCTGTACTTCCGGAGTTCTGACAGCCTGCCTTCTCAGGACAAGGAGTTCGAGGGGCTCTGACCTAAGTGAGTGAGTGTGAGAGTGCTTTGCTCAACCAGGAGTTTCAGGCCTTTCTCCTCGGAAGTTTTGAGATCGTGGGGTGTTCCGGTTCAGGCTTGCGGATGTAGAGCGCGCGAGGTCTCACACGGCCCTGATTACATCGTCTTCCGTCCGTTTGCGTGCTGGTTTACATCTGTATGTACACACGGCTGAAGCGCCTCTGGGTTTCCTTTTGGTTTACGATGTTCAAGCAGGATGTGGTGTAGGGTGCGTTCCCTCAATGCCCTGCAAAGACGTAACCTCGAAGGACTCGTAACTTCCAGTGCTCTTCGGGCGCTGGAAATGACAACCCAACGCCCTGCAACCACATCCTGCGTCCTCAAGCCTCAATCAACGTGCCCAGAGTCTCATCGAGCTCATGAGCTTATGAGCAGCTGCAAGAAATACAAGACGCGGCGCATTTGGCCCAAGGGCATGTCTTCTTGGACCCCGAATGATGGCCGAACCGCTTCAACAAAAACCTTGAATGCGAGGCCCCCAAACCCACATGCACGTAACACTACGGTCCAAGGAGATGCCGCGAAGCCCCGACATAAAACACAAAAATCGCTCCAACCCTCACCGATCAGGTCCGGTCTTCTCTGCGATGCCTACTTCAACATCGCCCCCGCCTTGGTTTGAGCGGAGGTCTGATCCCTGACTCAAGAACTGTCACTGTTTCGGGTTAACAGAGCCTTGGCAGCCGTGATTTGGTCAACACAAGTTCACACTAGAATACACTGCTCTCACATGTGCAGGTTAGCTAGTGGAGTAGCCCGTCAATTCAGCACGTCGTCATGCACTGAGTTCGGCATTCCAGCAAGCCCCTCGTGTGTTGGCAAGTGGGTCCCTTTCGTTCAGTCATGCATGACTGGCCACTGCAAAAGTTACCTAGTGCCTCGATGTTGTCTGCTGGTTGATGTGCTGCTATCCAAGAAGGTCTTCCATAGCAAGGGCCAAGCAAACAGGTGCATATTGATGCTAGACTGCAAGAGCACAGCTTAGAGCAAATAAACTCGATGTGCTTGGAATTGCTCTAAATACTTGATAACAATCTTGCATCCCTGCCCGAGGCCCGGTACCACATTGGCTCGCTCGCGTGCGGGGGCCCAGCAAGAGCTTGGTATTTGGCACCCGTTTTGGGGCTTCCGTCCTCGCCAGCACGGCCGGTACGCAGTTTTGCACAGGAGCGGCAGAGGCGGATTCGCACGTTCTTCATGGGTCGCTTGGGAAGCCGACAGTCATTTGGGATGGATCTGGCCCCTCCTTGCCGGCATTCAGGAACTGTCGGGCCAAAGGGTCATTCATAGTTCCGTCGTGAGTCGTGCGCCAAGATATTCACGGCTCCTCGGTGCATTCACCTCATGTTGCGAATATCCCACTCTGATACGAGTTTTGACGCGAGACGATGGTTGCTGCACACCCGTATACTATAATTACGTTGACCAAGCACCAAGCCTTGACTTAATTCAAAAACCCCGAACCAAATGACTCCTTGAACCTTCAGCTAGAATTCCCAATCAGAGCAGATCGTGGACCACCATCCTTGCGCTGGAGTCAGAACATCAGACTTTGCAGGTATGGCTCGCTGTTGATTTTCATCTTCCGCCCACTTCGCGTCGCCGGAGCCTTTGTAGATGTTCCCTCCTTCAAGAAGGGTATAGCCCTCTAAGACGTATGAGCTTCCCTGAAGCACTAGATCCAGCCAGAAGGGTCT